AAACTCTTATATTACAAAACAAGTATTAAAACTGTGGCCAAATTAAAGTCGACATTGCGATTTATTTTCAGTATTAAATACTTGCTGTATTTAACACTGATCACTTGCAGGGGCTTCCAAAGTCCAGCTAAACATCTCTAACAAGTTTTTTACACCTTCAATTAGTACCCGATGGATTCGAAAATACAAGAGATCGATGTTAATTTTTGACGCGGCTTAAACCAAATATTGGTTTGCGATATTTCGTTAGTTTGCTTGTTAAAATTATCGTAAATGTTCGATGTATGCTTATAAATTGGACGCGTGTACTTGTAAAAATAAGCGACATTCCGCTAATTTTAGAATGCTTTTACATTTTTCCATTATTCCATTGGGCTTGATTTATTAAATTAGGAACTTGAATCAAAAACGAATAATGCTGTAATTAAAATGCGCACACAGAACAAATTAACAATAGGTGGTAATTAACAAATTTAATGATCAATTTACATACGATCGCATTTCTGCAATTAACAAATCTGCATCAAATACACGCAACATAAACAATGTGGACCCGGCACCGGAAAACGAGAATTCGTCGGAAACCTAAAATGCGGAACGATGGGAAAAGCGATGTTTTGTTGATGATTTTTTAAAATAAACATACAGGGACTTTGAATGGAAGAACAAATTTATTCTTGTAAAAATAATTTTAATGATAACTGATAATCCGTAAATGGCGCGGGCTTCAAAGGAGGCGAAAAACGCCTTGTAACCATCTGCAATTTACTCGACAGCGTTAAAAAATGGGAAAGTTTATGGTAAACCGTCTTTTGTTGCTTTCACTTTTACTAAATTTATTTTCTGCCAATCGGGCTTGTCTATGGCACAGTTTGGCGTCGATAAAAAGACCACAATGACTAGAGAAACTACTAAATCCTAGCTAATGTTTAGAAATAACACACTTAAAGGAAAAAATCACCGTGCCCATTGATAAACGATTCAATCCCACGAGAGCTTATAAAGTCAACCAATAAAAAATTTCTAGTCGAATCCCATTAAACGCATTAGACTTACTACATGGTGTTCGTTGAGGTGTGAGGTGTATTGCTTTTATTAATTTAATTTTTATTAAAATTTTACTATTTGGGAATTTTGTTAATTTCGGGCAAAAGTTATGCTTCTCAAAAACTATATGGAACCTGGGATTGAGAGCTGCAAGGGAGGATTGAATAATTGATTGCACATTGAGCAGCTCAATAACTTCTTTGTAAGCTACTAATGCGACTTGCTAAATTAAAACACAACAAACAAAACAAAACAATTTTTGCCAAAAACTATCCAGATAATTCATATTCCAAGTATCTCGAATACCGCGGCCAACACCCTGTAATTACGAAAATTAATCGAGGGCTGAATCCCCATTTTTTCTCGGCATCCATAAAAGTATTTAAATGAACCCATCTAGGTGCTATGCTAATAACAATAAACCTACTGACATTTACCTATAAAGTAGCTTAATAAAGTTGCAATAATCAAAGTGCTCATTGGAAGGCTCGATTCGAAATTGGTCGCGCCAAAAACAATAAAAATCTCCCATCGGCGACATTTAGCGAAGTTGAAAAAACTCTCTACAAATTGCTGGTTTATTGTTGCACATACCACGATGAAAAACCAATAATTGTTTATTTTTAGATTTAGTATGGTAAAAGCAAATTCACTTTTATTTCAGATTGTGGTGTATGGCTGATGATCGAAACGCCTCACTACACAATTCAGACGTAAATAAGGAAATGAAAATGCTTATTTACTACGAAATGCATATTGTTTTTTTCGTTCACGATTTCCAACCATTACGTGGTAATGGAGCATTGCGACGAAGACAAAGAGCATGTTGAATAGATTTTATAATCAATGCGATGCCTAGATGCTCATTCCTTCCATTTCCTTATTATTATTATTAATGCGGTTCTTTGAATTATACAGTTAAATTAGAATCAATTGTGGTAATGCAGAACTGTTTTCGTTGGTTTGTGTAAATCATATTTTTGCGGTTCTACAACGTTGTTAAAGTTTACCTAAAAATGCTTGTAGTGGCGTTAATTTATTATAGCAAATAACTAGAACCGATTTTTCTTAATTAAAAAAAAATCATAAGAATTCGATACAAATCATATCACATCAAAACGGAGCGTATGACGGGAAATTTTCAAGTGAAGAACTTAGCTTTTGAGTTGCTTCATTCAGGAGAAGTTGCCAAAGTGCAGAAAAATGCCCAATTTTGCTTTTAAATTAAAAAAAGTAATCAGTTTCTATGCGTTCGAAATTTCAACAATCCCTTAGTAACTATATTAATTAATATAACAGTTTTTGCAAAAAAGTCTCTTCGTATTAATTTAAAAAAATTGTTTGTAATGTTAACGAATTACACAGCCACAAAGTGAACCTGATCGGAAAAGATCTTAATACGCTGAACCAAAATCATGCTGCTGAAAGTTTCTGGAGTCAAATGGACGAAATTATTACGACAACAGTGAAGAAGAAAAGTAGGAAGAAATGAAGGAGACAAAGAACGCCAAAAACAACTGCAAAAAAAACAGAGAAAATAAAACACTCTGATACAGCAAAAGTCAAAAGAAAATAAAGAAGAATATGCAAAATCCCGAAAGGATTTTGCCGAAAGCCTCTAAGACGGCAATGCGAACAACAAGAATCCAATTTAATTCCACATAATCAGATTTTGATAGAGTTGGAAGCATTCTTAGCCAATTCTTGTATCTGGAATTTTAACAATCCATGCCATCAATGAAGAGCGTTAGACTTTGGCGACCAGTGCTTGAAACTGGTAAGTTTTTCGAGCTTTAAAGTCGTCGTTGAAAAAACTTCTTTTTAAAACCCGAAAAATTAATTGGTTTCACTGCCATCATTATTTATCTTTTATAATTCTTTGCGACAACAAGCACCGCGCTAATCCCATATGAGTACAACCTTCGATTGAAAAACCATCAATGTTACCAAAATATTACAAAATCATGATTACAGGCTGCCTATAAAGTAAATGAGTTTCATCTTCAGCGTCATCAATTTATGTATTGATATCGTCATTCAATTAGGTTTGGTCACCTATTCTATGGCAATATTTCCTCTACAACGCCAGAGTTAATCTCTACAGAAACCCTGCAAACAGCCCCATAATCTGGTTCCAATTGCAATGAAATGCTGTCCTTAATTAATATATACTCTCTAATAAAATCAATCCATTGTTTATGTGTGCATAACTTAACTGTTTTTGTTTAAATTTAATCAGACCGTTCTTAAAGCGTTTTTGTATTTACATAAAGCTGTAGCACTATTTCGAAACGGTTGTTGCTCAATGTTTGCGTTTTTATTGTTTGGTTGCAAACCGTTTTCTTGTTAGTCCATACAGTTGATATAACTAATTTCGTACTTAAAAGTCGATTTTTGTTTTTCGGGGCCTGACTGCGCCAAGGTATGAAAATGGTGCATGTTAATGCCAAATGCGTCAATTTCTTGTTGTGTTTCCACCAAGTCATTGATGTAGAGAACCATCAGCAATTGAAGGTTAAGACGTTGCGTTTAGTGACAAATAAGGATACCTCCAATTACCGTCAATTGTGCAGGCTAATCTTCCAATGAGTCGCCGCCATGGGCAATTGGCTCGACTGCGGTACCTTCAAAAGGGGTCCCCAGTTGCAAATTTTCATCATGCAGCTTTGCAATTTAACATTCTTCATTGCCTTATAAAAGCTTTCAAACCTGCTTTGCCCTTAATAATAAATAAATAAAAAACCCATAGTGTGGTACCCATTGGTACTAATGAATGAGTACTAGACCGAATCAGGTGTTTGATTTCTGACTAGGAATAAGCCGGGCGGAAACTGGGACGAAAGAAACAGCGAGTTGTTGAAGAAAGTGGTCAATACCAGTCGAAAGCAGTTAGCTATTGCCTTCATGTGATAGAATGAAGATGATCCAAACAGACGAAAAGTAATGACGCAAATGGCAAATAACAAACAAAGAGAAAGCATTTCCAACTATCTATTTATTTTATGCATTAAGTAATGGACGTAAACACTCCCAACACTGGTGGCCAAGTGAAAACGTGTCTAAAATGGATATTAAACTGATCGTCCGGTGACCAAGTGGAGAGAAACCGATGATTATTATAAATGTTAAATTGCCGCGGTTTCCATTGGCTGGAAGAGCGAAGAGCCATTCAATTTAGTTGTCATGGTTTTGGTTTGGGTCGCCAATTAGTCGGTCAATTAGTGAGTTGATTTTCCTGCCGAAGAAAATCTCTGCAGTGTGAACATTCCATGGCAGCCTTACATAACAGTGCGACTGCAACCACATCAGCAGCCTTGATACGTTTTTCACCTTTGCTGAATTGGCGATTAAGTTAGCAGAAGGACATCAACTTAAGAACTGGCCACTTTTATGAGGCGGTTAAAAATCGTTGACCGATTACAACCAGTTACAGGGTGTGGGGAATCATTCGGCTCGTTATCAAGTTCATTTGAACATGTCGTGGACAACATTGTGGGTTCAAAATGTGACCTTTGATTTGTAAACGGATAATTCCGAAACCATTTTTATCATCAGAACAAATAAATAACAGACAAACTGACATTAAGTGAAAACATTACGAGCCGATAACCTCTGATGGATGGTTGCAAAATGCGATCTGTTCTGATCGTGGTAGCATTGGCATATTGTGAAACGCATACATTTATATCGCATGAGGTTGTATCACCTACATATTTGTATGCGACCAAACCGCAACTAATAATAGACATAGATATTTTGCAGTAATTATCGCTGAATTTAAACGATTTGCCAACTGATAAGTGCATTAATCCACAAGAATCAATTAGACATAACATGGAAAAGGCTGCATTAGTTAAATGTAAATCGTGTAAAAAACGCGGCGTAGATGTTGAAGGGAATAACCGCTAAGCAAAATAAATGTTGTAATAATAATCAGGTCAAAAAAGACTCACCTTCATCCACATGAGTTCCATGCTTGAGGTGATGCAGATGGGCATAGTAGTGGTGATGGTGCAGGATACACTCGAGGTCCGTACAGTTCAACATTTTGCTTGTTAACTTGAAAGTATCACAAAAAACACCGACTCAACCGACGCAAATATCACAGTAAATCACTTAACGGTTTTTAAAACACTTTCCAATTTTTCATGATGTTGAATGACGGTGACATGAACACTGATGTTCGCCAAATAGACACTAATCAAGGCTCTATCTGAAACAATTCAGTTAATTAATAAAACTTATTCACTTGAATAACAGGAAATTAGATATCCGATCACTAAGATTTAAGAATATTCACTAGCACATATTCTCACAGGAAAATCTCGGAGACTTTTGTTAATCGAATGTCAATCGTTCATCCTATAAAGCGGAATTCATGCCTTCAAACAACGACTTCAAAATCTTTTGTGGATGCAAAAAGGAGAAATGTGGCCTTTTGCAATGGCCTCAGTCGTGCAAGGCGCACAAACATACCAATTAACCAATAGGTTGAACCATCTGGTGAAGACTTCTCACTAAGATCAATTATAATTGATTCGATTGGACTCACCTATTAGGATCGAAAACTTCCCTTAGAACCTGCCAAAATATTCCCCAAAGTTCAACCACTGATCACCCCGGTGGGTTTTTGCACAATTTTTACAACTCAAAATCACAACGTTTTCGAACACACAGTTTCGAAAATTTCCGAAGAATCTATGAATTGCGACCGCAGTGGATCAAACGAGAAGTGCTTGGAACTGAACAGGCTTCTTACTGAATTAACCATTACGTAGATGTCTTCTTCATAGGCCAAGCAGCGTGTTCTAGAGATATCTTCAATAAGGGGTCATAAATGCCACGACAACGAGACCCGAGACGTGGACTGAACAAGATTTACGTAAAATGTTTGAAGGATATTTTCTTGCAAATTTTTAAATTGATCCTGTGCTCGTTGCGGAAGACTGAAATCAAGTGAGACATTTTTACAAGAAATTACCAGCGCCTTAAAACTTGATGACAACGTAGATTTCAAGCCCATGGTGCAACTGACGCACTTCGACCGCAATCGCTCTATCGAGATTGCAATAAGTAGGCTTTGGATCAAGCGGTTTTCATGGAAATGCAACTAGTGCGTATGTAAGAGCACGTTTGTTGCACCATGAAGGCAAAAATATCGATTTTTTACCGCCCAAAGGAGTCAAACAGAGCTTGTAGACCACACATGGTACATGTCTGGAATAAAACTCCTCCTTTTCCTCAAACATTTTTTCTCTGCACACATTTTGTCACGGTCTGCAAGCTTCGTTTTACTTGAAACTTTTTGTCTAAATCAACAATCCTGCATTGATGTTGCACGAAAGCAAACCACTGGGCTCAAAAATATCCATTTATACCAAAAAAATCGCTTTTGAACGAATTCAATTACCAAAAATTCAGTTCCTTATCTTCGAAGGCAAAGTTTGAAAACGCAATGACAATGTCGATTCCATCCGGGGATAACTTGTATAGCACATGTGGCCTTTGTTGTTACAAAGTGTTAACAAGTAAAGAATGAAAAAATCCTCGTTGAAAATTGAAAGAAAAAATGAACCTTGATGCATATCTTACCCAATCTTCTAATATCCGAATAAAATAGAAAAAAATGACGCCATTGACAATTAATTAGGTAAATGAAACCACACTGCACCGACCTCAATCGCACCCGACACAACAATGGGAAATTCAAGGTGAAAAAATGAGCGAAAAAGTTTCCGCGAGTACTAAGTTTTCTGTTAACTAGACTACTTATCCAAACGCGTGCTGCCAATTAGGAAAGTGCTTCCCCGCTTCCTTTTGCTGTAGCTTTTTCGACTTCTTAGCACCATCTAATTAGCACCCACAGTCAAGCAAGCATGAATACAACAAAATTTGGATAAAATGCATGTAGAAAATCGACTCATTAAGTGTGAATTACGTGCCAATAACGATGCAATTAGATTCATTGGTCAAGGTTCATTGGAAGCAAAACTCTGTACATGTACTGCCTGGTATTTTTCACATGACACTTGGAATTTTTACGTAAATGTTATCAGCAAGCATTATTTAACAAGCCTAAAAGGTTTTCCCCGATACTGGTAAAAGCCTAAAGCAGGAAAATTGCGGTTGTGGAATTGTGGACAAACCAACTCAGCCCCCCATTTGTTCGCAACAACATTTACCGAAGGAATTTTCAATGAAAACCACTTATTGTCGGGTAGATTAGTAGTCCTTGCACTATCCACTACCAGTCACTTTGCATCCTTCCAGCACAATGACAGATCACAGAAAAGCACAGCCAACAAACCACCCGAAGTATCAACATCAAGTCAATAAACAAATAAATAGTCGAATCGGCTAAAGAGTCCGGATAAAAATTACTCGGTACTACTTGGTACGTGAAATAACGGTGAACTGAAAATGAGAATGGTATATGTTCGTCGCATGCCACTCGAAAGGAAGGTATCAAAGATTTCTTGGTGTCAGACAGTCTATGGGGGACTACTTTCTAATCGGATTTGGTGCCTCAGTGGAAGATGATTGGATACTTTGCCTGCCTTCTTTGGCATTTTAATGATCCAGGGAGGGAAAAAAAGTAATTTTGAAACACTCACCTTGACTGCGGAGGAACGTCGCAAAAAACTCGCCTCCATCCGCTTGGGCGGAATCTTCCAGGATGAACCTGAACCAATTAAAAACATTCATTTTCTAAAGCTTCTAAAGCCTGTTAAAACGGGTTAAACTCAGGGAATTGGCATTCAGTCTTGGGAAAATTGCCTCGATCAATTAATCTTAAATAACCACGATTTTTGCTCTTGTTGTCTCTGCCAAGGTTCATTAGTCACAACATAAGAGAAGATTGCAAAAAGTGTTCATTTTTTCCATTAATTACGTTCATCTGAATTGAACGGATTAATTTCGCTTTACACGTAAAAAATATCTAATAAAAGCAAATAATCAATTTTAATGTGCCTTTAAACCTTGTCCTCATTTTCTTGGCTTGGAAAGTGCTTTTTTGCATTCGGCAAAAGAAAATGCTCAATATTTTGCGTATCACTTGCTAATTCCTGACTGAAGTCACAACACGAAACACTTAATTAATAGCTTTTTTTGTTCTTTTCTCAAACAACAAAATTTAATAGGAAGCTGAAGAAATCCGACAGTTATTCTAATAATTCCTGATTGAGTTTCTCAATGACAAAGTTTGGAAACTATAAACAAAACTTAATTAGAATCGCAAAATACTCCAGTTATGGTCAGCCAAATTCAATTATACAGCCAGTTTTAAAGGGGAATCACTGTTTGGCAATTAAAACGCCGTTCATTTAGGAACAAATTAGCTTAATAGTTCATTAAAAATCATGTCCGACTGAAACATGTTTACATAATGCTAGCTGGAAGTAGTTTTCTTCTTCCGTATTGATTTTAAAGATGGGTGATAAAAATATAATTTCACCCAGTTCCCAGTTCTTAGATTCTAATTAATTCAATTTCTCTTTTCTGCACATCGCGGCTTCCTATTATATCCCGGCCAGATTATGCAATTGACCGCGATAGTAGAAAAACTACTGAGAATTTGGCATAAGGCGAATATGGACGAAAGGAAAATAAAAGCTCAACAATAGCAGAAGTTTCGAAATTAGAAATGTGTTTAAGACATGAAAATATCGAAGAACTTAAAAGGGAAAAGGCATCGTATTGCTGATATTTATCTGAAATAACTGTAACAAAGTGCGAAATTTACAAGGAAATCAGGCGGAGGAAAAATACGCTTCATTTTTAAAAGGTAGCTGATTCAAAAGAAACTTACATATAAATGAAGGTAGAAACAATGTTTATCAAACAAGTCGCATTTTCATGATTTTGAAGTCCCTACAGCTTTTTTTAATCCTGCTAAGTAGCGTCAATTTTGACTTCCACTCCACTGGAGGAAATGGTAATTTCGAAATATGTATATTAAAAAATGCAATTTTATTAAGAAAACTAGGGATAAAAACTGTTAAATCGGATCAACTTAATATTGTTTGTTTTTTTATTTGCGATATCGAGTTTTCCAGCAGAATTTAGAAGTTAGGGAATAATTCGATACCGTTTGGATTTTACAGATGAAGAATAAAGCGACTTTCATTTTTATTATGGACTTGCAATGAGAAAATTAGGTTTTAATCATAAAATGTCAATAATTATTCTCATTAATAAGTAAAATGTCTATAAAAGATCGCTTGCACTCAGAAATAGAAAAACAAAACTGAAAAAATTTGACCACGTATTTCCATTTTCAAAGCAAAAAAACTGTGTTGAAGTTATGCCACTTTTTCGTTTTCAGATTTTTTCATAATCTGCCTCTATACCTTGGTAGATTTTAAAAAAACCATAGTTTGCATTTGCAACAAAGTGACAAACGTCCCTAAACCGTATAAACAATTGTAGGTTGCAAATAAATCGGAAATGAAGAATTGCCGAAAAAATTATCTGAACATTTTATCACTTTTTAAAGCTCGACGCATTAACTTTAATTTAACAAAATAGCACTTTTAGTTTAGATACTAACTCTATTTTTTTTAGCTTTTTCTGCCTGTCTTGTAAATGCATATTTGTTCCATATTTCAATCATTTCCACATGCTTACATTTGCCGTTTTGTTCGAAAAATTCATTGTCTGAAATAGGTATACCTATAAATCCTACCTACATACCCTGGATAAATTTGAGTTGTAAGTTATATGTTTTGCGCTGAATTTTCAGCTCTGGATGGCGCGCAAAAGATAACTTTCTAAGCCATGACGAAAAAATATTCTTTCCTCCTTAGCAAGATTATTGAAATATTTAATAAAAACTAGCTGACACTCACCAACAGGTTCAAATCTCTTATGTTGTTGACATGTCGAATTCGATGCATTTTGAGAGGATTTTTTTTAAATTGATCTTTATGAAATTGTCGGCCAAAAATGAAAATTTTACATGCGACTTTTTCTAGCTCAATCGATTTCTTTCGACCAAAGGAGCTTTTCAGGGTGCACGTCTTAAAATGATCCAAAAAAGTAAATTAATTCGGATCTAAAGCTTCTGGTGTGTTTTCAATGAGTTCGTTGCATTCCTTGTTTTATTTTTATGAAAGTGACGCAGAATTTAAGGCATTTTGAGATAATTTAATTTTTTTTAAATCGACCACCCCTTATGAAATTTTTGGTCCAAAATAAAAATTTTTGCTTTCGACCTAAGAGCTCCTCAACATGTATAGAAAATGTATTTGGGTGTATAATCAGGAAGATATCGTCGGTTAAAGATCGTGAATGCTAAAGCGCTTAAAATGAGCTGAAAATGTCGATTATTTCGTAGCTGAAGATTCTAGCGTGTTTTTGAATGCGTTTGTTGCATTTCTTGGCTCATTCAGACGAAAATGATGTAGAATTCGAAGAATTTTAGCAAACATTTACATTTTTTCCGAAAATCCACCTCTACCCCTTAAGAAATTTTGGGTCAAAAATAAAAAAATTTGCATGCGTGTTATTTTATCTCGATGGATTGCTTTCGGCATCAGGAGATCCCCAATGTGTATCTTTAAAGTGTTTAGGTCTACGTAAATTAAATATCGTCGGTTAAAAATCGTGAATGCTAAAACGCTTAAAATGAGCTGAAAATGTCGATTATTTCGTATCTGAAAATTCTAGCGTGTTTTTCAATGAGTTTGTTGCATTTCTTGGCTCATTAAGACGAAAATGATGTAGAATTCGAAGAATTTTGGCAACATTTACATTTTTTCCGAAAATCCACCTCTACCCCTTAAGAAATTTTCGGTC